CCACCCGCATTTCTCTGCTGGTGGCGGAAAAGAGCACAAGCTTTGTAAAAATTGATTATTAGCAATTCACGCTAACTGCAATTAGCCAACRTAAACAGGAAAGAACTGCTATATAATCCAGTAAAGAGGCGTTTAGGTTGGAAATAAAACCGAACAAAACCTGAAAGGTTGAAAATAAACTCCCTAAAGTGAGTAATTGCGACTTAATTGCCTGGCTCACAAAGGATTTTCCTTAAGCTGGGTCGTTCCTTCAAAAATTAACTTCAGRAACAGAACTCCCTACAGCCAGCTCTTCTAGGCATCATGTAGGAGTTATTCTAAAAGCAAGATTGCATCTTCCACCAGAATTATTTTTTTAATGCAATGTTACAATTTAAAATTACTCCCCCAGAACGTGGAAGTTATGTCTAAGGGAGAAAGAAGCAGAGATTTATACTCCCGAGATTTCTGATCACAGGAAAGCATTGACTCGCTGTACTTGTGGCAGAGTTTTTTTTTTTTTTTTTTGAAATTATCACTGTGTACGTGAAATTTTGTCACTTCCCATTCTGAAAACAATGGGGAACATTCCAATTACCCTGATGCCTATCGCAAAGCCACACACATGAAGAGAACTGAAGTCGCTAAAAATCACATCTGTGCTGTTCCTGATGGAGTAGAAAGAAAAAAAAAGATGTCCAAACCCAAACTATTTTTGCCCTGAATACACTTGATTATTGCCTCATTTCCGAGTTTTCACAGCAGAAAAACCTCACTTTCTCTAAAGTTCACAATGTACACTTAAGTTCACCTAACCTGGTCTACAGGATCTTTCTTCTTTTCTCCGTGTATACATTTTACTGYCATACGCTGTGCATATAAATGTGTATCCGTGCATTTGTACAATGCATGAAAACTTCTGCATACATTCAGCTAGATAAAGAGGCGTATAGAAACACACTGGGTTGTGTTTGYCTTCCATGTAAGTAGCCGCACCGTTTAAATAGATCTGCACCTGTGTGTATATCGGGATGCTCGTCRCTCAGATCACCCCAAGACTAGCACCCGACCTCTCTCTCTCCGTCTGAAGAGAGCACCTCCAGCCCCGGGCGGGGGTAGGGGGGCATTCGCCAAGTGATTGTGGGGTTTGGGCATGAGGGCAGCAGCAAAACAGCAGGGGTATCCTTCCACCGGCCGCCCCGTCTGGGGCATCGGGCCGGTGATGTCGGGGAGAAGTGCCGGCTGCCGGCTGACTGCGGCTGGCGGCTTTGCTGCTCCCCCTCTCCTGTGTGCGTGTGTGTGCGCCCGCTGGGGCGGGGGCAGGGTTCACTTCCCGGCTCCTCCAGTTGCCGGCGAGGCGGGTACCTGTTGGGCAGGGAGCGGGGACGCGGTGCTCTCCGATGCGGGGCGGTCCCCAGCAGCGCTCCGGTGCCGCGCTGCGGGGCTGGCTGCGGGCAGGCGCTCCGCGGGGGGGGCAAGGTGCGCCCCTTCCCCCCGCCCCAGCCCGCCCCCCGCCCGGCCCGGCCCGGCCCGGCCCGCCCCGCCGCACCCGCGGCCCGGCGGGGCCCGGGCTGCTCGGCGCTCTGCACCGCCCTGGGGGCACGGCCAGCGCCAGCCGGGGCAGCGGGAGAGGCCGCGCCGCTGCGCCCGGCAACTGGCTGCCGGCAAAGGGGACGCGCCGCAGCTCAGTGCCCGCTCAACACCTGTCAGCCCGCGGAGCCTGATTTATACCTGGCATTGGCAGCCCCTCCGCTGGGGATTTCCCCCTCGTCCCACTTCTTTTTTTTTTTTCTTTTCCCTCTCGCCTCCCCCCTCCCTTCTTGGAGCGTTGTGCAAGAGAGTGTTTTCTTCAGGGTATAAAGCTGAGAATACAGAGGAGGAGAGGCTCAWACCTTCACCTCACTGCCTTCATTCTCCCTTCCATGTGAACATTCTGCAACGTTTCCTTCATCCTGCCGCACCTCTCACCTGGCCAGCGCTGTCCGGACCATGTCCGCTAAGCTCCTGCCGGTTTTCTTCCTCCTCTCAGTGTTCCAAGCCTGGTAAGTCTGCGCTCCCCTCGTCTCCCTCCAGCCCCTCTCCCCTCGCACTGGGGCTGGCGGGCTGAAGTCCCGTTTGCCGGAGTTTGCACAATATTCGGCACCCAGCGGGCTCTCCCCACCTCTCCCGCGCCGTGCCAGGGCTCTGTTCCCAAACACGGCTTACCCCGCTCCCATCCCGGGACCCGCCCGGCTCAGCGGCGCGCTCGGCGCGGTGGCACCGCCGCTGTCCCTTCCCGTGAAGCCGGAGGTCGCCCGCCAGCCCTGTCCTCAGCCGGCCCAGCAGAAAGTTTTCCCCTCCGGCGGCTGCCGGCAGCCGATGGGACGGCGACTGGGGCTGCCGGGGACCCCGCGGCCCCCGCTTCCCTTCGCGCCACCCCCGGGGCTCTGCGGGCGGGGCCGGCCTGAGGGGGGAGAGGGTGAATCGCGGGGTGCCTGAGCCCCCGGTGCCCGCCTGGGAAGGGGCTCCCCGGCCGGGCTCCGGRATACACTGTCAAAGGCCAGAGGGGSAGAGGCGCCAGCTTCAGCCCTGACCTTTGGGACTTAGGTCCATTTGATTGTCCGGGGCTGTCGTAGACCCTCACAGCAGAACCCAGGCAAGGGAGTCAYCTCAGCTCCCCCTGTGGGAACCACCACAAACCGGGCTACAGGCGTGCTCAGAGGCCTGCCCCTCTCTTCCCTGGCAGCCTGCCCTGCACCTGAGTAGTGTTTATCTCCCAAATCCCCCCAGGAACTAGGGGTGCTTCATGCCATCCTCCAAGACAAGTGTGGGACACRCCTATTGCAGGAAATAAACCCTTTCCTGGCAACCTCTCAGAGTTCYCTTGACTTCCTCCCTTGCAGTTTATGCACAGTCTCTGTCTCCTCACAGAATCAAAACTAGWGACCTGTGAAGAGTTGGAGGAAGGCGTGTAGCCTTTCTCCCTTCCCATTTTGAGACTAGCCTGCCATTGTCCTATAGTTGTTCRTCTGGATCACAGGAATATGAAAGGAATTGGCAGTCACCAGTAGAGTTACAGATGAAAAATGCAACCTCAAGTGCCTTGAAGGAGCTTAACTATGTAAAGGCAAGCAATGGAAGTGAAATAATAACTTACTGAAGGAGAAAACAAAAAAGATTGAAAAATATGTCTAGTGTACTAGTCTGATCCACTGTGAAACCTCTCCCACCTCCAGTCTTAATCTAGAAGATCGGTAGGGATTAAAATGATTTGGAGGTACGTTCTAGGAAAGAAGCTGTAAGAGTGAGGGGATCGAAAAGGTCTGTCAGTGCTGTCAGTTAGACTCTTTTCAGTGACTTGTTTTAAAGCAGAGTCTCTGTGAAATGAGAATCATGATACTACCTGAACTCAGTTCTCATTTCCAGGTACACTCTGAATACCTGTGGTAAAGTCGTAGTGGCTGCAGCAGAAAAAGACATATTATTTGTCCTTCTTTGCTATCAGCAATTCAACATCACTGCAGAGTTTCAGCTTGGAAATATCTACCACATATGTTTGGAAATGATGCCTCCTTTGAGACTGGCTTTGTAACAGGTGTATTAAAACATAGGGCTTATCATAAATCTGATGGAAAAAAAAAATCTCCCAAAATTCTCCTGAGTTTTTTTAATGCTCATTGGGTGAATTACAAAAAGAAAAAAAAAAAAAGAAGCCAAGTTTTTAGAAAATACAGTTCAATAACGGAGAAGTAGTAGTTGTCTAATCAAAATTTTGTCTAAATTTTCTCTACTTTTGCAACTTAATTATATGAGTACTCTCTGTGGAAGATCCTTAGGGTCTAGGTTTAAAAAATATTTTTATGCAGAAATTTTGCCTAGAGCAATTGCAAATTGTTAAGTTGTATTAAGTGATTCATGGTTAATCCTTAGGGGCATATTGGCTGTAAAGCAGTTTCAGTTTAAAGTTTCATTGAATTCTCAAATAGTGRTCTTTGAGCAATGCGAGGGTTAAAGATGCTCTATGATTAAATTTTTTTTTTTATGCTCTCATAGGGTGTCCATCAAGTCTTCTGGACACCTGAGGTATATTAAAAGATAGGAGTGTCACTGTGGAGAAAAAGAGAGGGAGAGAAAAAARTTGCACGGATGCGTGTAGCACATCCCATGAACAAGCAAGGCTGGTGCCTCTCATTCTCCACTGCTTTGCACCTCACATCATTACTGACATTTATGTAAAAATGTTGSAAAATTATATCACATTCCCCGGGCAATTGCAGGTTGAAGCAATGCATGATTTCCTACTGTAGGTTCCACCACGGAGCTTATCTTTTCTCCTAATAACTTCATCTCAGTCTAACTGTCATAGATTTTCTCCAGTGAGAGGCATCAAACAGATTTGGTTTCTAAGATACGTCTTCAAATGAACATTTTACAGTCCGTGCACAAAAAGCTGCACAAATGAAATTAGTCTTGTGTGAAAATAGCTCTAGCTGTGAWTTCTGGGCAAACTGTAGTTTCACCACATTTGTATTAATATACGCTTAAAAGAAACATCATCCACCTATGAAGGAAAGAAGTTGCAACTCTTGTTGTAGTACTGCTTTTTTAAAAAAGTCATTAAAGCTGCAGGGAAATGCAGATTAATTTATGCAACGTATTTGTGTGCTTGTGATAATCCATCTTAAATTCAAGGAGTGAGCTCTTAATTCTAAGCCTTGTAATACATTAAACTCTGAAATTCAGGCACTGAGAATATAATAATTTATTAATAGGATAAAATGATCAGGAAGCATTAACAGATCTGAATTTTTAATACTCTTATTAGCCTTTGTGCAAGAGATGAATCAGTCGTCTTGATGTATTAATAAAATAATACTGCAGATGTTAGCTCTTTGTAAAAGTATATTGTAAATACTAGTCGGAATAGGTTCATTAAAACACAGGATAAAAAAAAAACAAACTACTCTGATAGCTGCTTTATCTCCTAGAGTATAACTTTTTGAAGAGACTTACAGAAGACAATTTCTAAATAATTGTCAGTCATGACCTATCCACAGATACTCAACAATTGGTAATGGGAACATCCTGCTGCAAAGCCAGTGAAAGGCAGAGTACATTCAAAGCCAGGGGATATACCTAAAACTTCTTCAGATGAGGGTGGAGTTTAATCCAGAACATCAACTCTTATTTTAGTTATGTAAAATAACATCTATGTGTTTCATTTATTTTTCAGTTCTACAAAGATTGAAGAGGATGAATATGAAGATGGAACAACTAACCAAAAATGGGTTTTAGCTCCAAAAACACAAGACACGGATGTGACTCTTATACTAAACAAGCTGTTGAGAGAGTATGACAAAAAGCTGCGGCCAGATATTGGAAGTAAGTACTTCTTTCTGCACAAATGAGGATAAGTTTCTCCAGGTGCAGAGAAAATGTCATTCTGCTATATTCCAGAAGTGTGCACAAATGTCTGGGAAAGTGGAAATTAAGTTTTTTTGGCTGAAGTTAATTTCCAAGTCAGTATTTTAAAAATGCTAATTCTCACAAGAAAATGTAGTGGTAGGTTAGGGTCCTAAAATCTGGTTTGCTTGTACAGAGTTTGTGTAGGGATATAGAAGGGCTAGTTCTTAARTATTCAGCCGGTCTTTGTCAGAGTAAGGAACGTACTTACGTCTTTTGTCACCAGTCCATGCATCTGAAAATCTCACACTCTGAGAAGCAAATAAAACCTCAGCATATTAAAGGCAAAAAGTAGGACACAGCAAGAGAAGAATGAGCTATTCTATTCTCTGACCTATTCTCTTAAAAATATGCTCATGAAAGTTGTGTTCCTTAATGCTGAGAAGAAAAAGTGACTTGCCTGTGTGTAGGGCAAGACCAGAGACCTTCTTCCACAAACTGTCAGACATCTCCAAARGAAACCTTATGTAACTGAAGTGTCTCATGGTCAGTATTAGTACATTTAGGTATAAAATTTAGATAACAACCAGTAGATACCTGCATGTAACCATCTCGGGCTACCTTTTTTTTTTTTTAATTTGTATAATGAGCTTTTGTATTTCAAACCAGTTTTGGGGTTTTTGGTTTGTTTTTTTTGGGGGGGGGTTTTTGTTTTTTTTTTTTTTTTTTTGTAGTGCTCTGCCTATTGCAATTTTGCCCTTTTTCCCTGATTTGCATCCCTAGAGCACAATGGCTTTAGTACAACTTCCTCTCAGTTTGTTCCCAGCAAGTTTGTACGACAGAAATCAGAGAGAATTTGTCATTTATATTTACTGTATCTTGCATGTGCTTCAAAATAAACTCAGAATGAGGAATTCTCAAAAAAAACCACTTAATATAACCTGTTTTTCCTGATTTTATTTCAGAAATTAGAGGCAGAATTCCTACCAGTGATTATAAATGAAACTATTGTTTGCTAAAGGCACATCTRTTGATAAAAATAAACTTTCTAGGTGATCCCTTTGGATCAGTTTAGAGGGAAGTAAGAGCCATCTGTGTATGTTCATCATTACAATTTTTAATGTCCCATAGCTACACAATAATTCAACAGTTGCAGAAAAAAGGAATATCCTGTGGTATGAAGGAAAGTATCTGGTTCTTTTTCATAGCTATTACTTTGATTTTCTGTAGTATTTACAAAGATTATATTTGTTAGATGTGTCTGGTTTTATCACAAAGTGACATTTATCTCTCTCTACTTAGTTTGTCATACTGGATTTAGCTATCTGATGGAGAAGTGCTTTAATGCACTTTCCCACCCATATCAACATCTGGAAGACAGTCTCAGACAATTTTTTTATTTATTTTGTACAGCATGTCCTCAGATCACTGACTTAAGGCAGAGTGAATTACATTATGCTTATGTGGGGCAAAGTAATCATTCAAAGTCCTCGTGTCAGTTGCCATGAAATCAGTAGAGGTCAGACATATCTTACAGCACTGGAAGTCATTGTTACCAAGATAATTCCTTCTGTCTCTCCACAACATTTTGTAAATCCTGTTTTAGAGAAAGGAGTCAAATTATGCAGCTCCTCATATATCAAACAGAWTTTACCGTTCTCAACTACATCTATTTCTATCAAGTGTCTTGGTCCTAGGCCATTTTTGTTCTTTGATAGCAATCTGGCTATTTCAGAACTGGAGCTGAGTGTTGTTCAGATGCTACAGAAGTTAGTTCACCTCTGCTTCYTTCCCTGGTCCCTCTTTGCACCTTTCCTACCTTTGATGCAGATAAATAACATTGCCCTTTTGAAGTTGAGGAGCTGTCGCGTTTGGCAAGGAGAACACAAGGGGAATGCTAGAGAATGAGGCATTACATATAACTTCCCTGAATTGCAGGCTGGTGCCTCACACACAGGCACATCTTCCTTTCCATCTGGGAGATGGTTATCCCCCAAACAGGATGGTTGATGTGTCCTGGCAACAGAACTGAGTTCCTGCCCTGAAGGTCTCAGTATTAATACAAATACTTTGAAGTATAATACATACCAGCTAGAGCAGAAGGAAAAAAAAAGCAGTGAACCAGGTAACACAGAGCATGCAATAAGAAAGTGCGTGCTTTGGAAATTAAAAGAAGTGTGGAATGAACCAGAAGAAAAGAGGAGTAATTCTCAGAATCAAGCAGAAGTATTGCCAATTCTGAGGCAATCAATCCAGGACTGATATCAGTCACTAGGGCCTTTACATTTGCATGGACCTGGCAGGAAACAAATCATCTGACCCACAGGACAGGAACACTGACCGTTTCATATGACACTGCTCTTCATTCAGTTTTTTAATCCTTGATTGCAAATCTACTATTTCTAACATTGTGTAGTTTTAGCAACAGTCCTGAGGAAATGATCTTTGTACAGAAGGCCTTTGTCAAAAATGCCTAGGAAATACTTTGCACTTTCAAAGGTTAGGACTGAAGATTTTGGATCACTTGGGAAGACACTTCTGCAACCAAAATCCATGGAGAGAAGACTGTGGCAAGTAGAATGTACCAAAGTGCGTGCTGGCATAAGCAGGGACTTGTCTGTGGTTTTTCATCCTTCTCAGAGCGGCTGATATTTTGGCTAGCTTGGGTATGTCTGGGTACTACTTGGCACTGTGCAGGCCTATTCTGAGTGCCCTTTTGCCATAGTATGGGCACTGACTTTAGCAATTGTTGTGTCCTCCAGGTCAGCATCAGTGAATGAGCTGTGAACACTTTGTTACTCTCTCTCCTCCTCTGTCACCCAAACACATCTAAGCCACTGTAGAGTGTTTAGGTCACTGCTTGGATGCAAAGCCAGGTCTTACTCCTTTTTTTTTCCCCTCTCATCCTGGCCCATATTTGGCCTCAGTTTCAATATAAATTGCTATTGCTCAGATCATATGAACAATCTACACTCAGCAGGATTCTTAAAGAGTGAACAACCTAAACATTAGGCAAAACAGTTAACCTGTGAAGGTTGTTAGCAAAGTGATACCTTAACAGGACCTGTCTGTCTAAAAGGGGACTTTGATCTTTGGAAACAAAGCAGTGTTCTACCAGCAGGGGAATGCCTGAYTGCATCCCCTGTGGCCACACACTTGGCAGAGTTCTTGTCTCCGTAAATATCATGGCTTTTGAGAGTTTTCATTTTATTGGTGGCATCTGGCAAGTTTCCATTATACCACAAAAAATACATGGCTTTTTGAAGTGAAAAAAAAAGGAAAGAAAGGAAGAAAGAAAGAAAAGAAAGCACTTCATACTGAACAGCTAATAACAGTGTACTGATTAGGTCGAAAAGAAAAGTGTTTTGTGAWGTAAAGCATCTTTTCACCTATTTTTTTACCAGCTACAATTATAGATCTGAGATATTCAGGTCTGTTGCATGCTATGAAAAGCACCAATCTCAGGAAAAAACTAAACCAATTCAGAACTATGAAGGTCTTGACATCTCTTCTATGGGCAGGTATTCTGTGTTTTGTTTCAAAGTGCTTTGAAGTGAAAACCTGTTCAATAGATATGCRTAATTTTCTGAATGCAGTAAGGCTTGCTACTCTGCAGGTGTGCTTTTCCCCCCCCTATATCACATTGATTTAGATCTTCACATTTAGTAGGACCAAGTTCTGGCCTTGAAATTTTRCTCCTCTTTATTAATACAATGAAAACAGAAGTATTAGGCAAACCAATGGGGCACAGAATAGAACAATGATAATTACAGCTAAAAAAATCTGTCTCATTTATGTTCTAGTGATAAACTAGATTTTTGTCATTGCTCTTTCTTTTTCTTTTTGATTGAAAGATTTGAAATTTAAGTTCCAATAAAAAAACCTACTACACAAACAGAAACAAACAATCAAAAGAAAACCCAACAATGAATTAAGACAAAGGTGAATAAAATACCTCATGACATAACATATTTTCTTCAAAGTCAGTTTACTTTGACAAAATCATTCCTCTCATCTTCTTTAATGGACAACTTAGAGSACAATGAAGTTCTGGAAAATAAAACCTACCTTCAGAACTTTACAGTGTTTCAAGTTTAAGCTCATATGGACTATAAATTATCTTAGACAAAAAATTTGTTACAGTGAAACAAAGTGGAAGATTTGCCAATCACAATCCCTGAGTGAGTTTATGTGAGTTTATATGTGGAAACTAATATGCTATCTTTTTCTTTAATTATGAAAGTCACCTTACCCATCAAAAAGTTAGTATGTGAGAGGTTTCTGAAATGTGCCATTAATAATGGGAGGAAAAATCTCACCCTAGATTAGGCTTAGAATGGCAGAGTAGTCAGGCAATTTGTATTGCGTGTTTGCATCCTCTGTTTCTCAAATGTATCATTACATTAAGGAAGCCTCTGAACAGCATGTGTTGAAGAAAGCTTCACCAGCTTATGTTCTGAGGCATTTTCAACACTAATATCTGCTTTTCCTTCTCCTTTTTTTTTTTTTTTTTTTTTTTTTTTTTAATTACTTTGCAGTAACTCATGGTGTCCTCTTGGATCCTCTAAAATTATTTGATGCCTGCAGCCTCTGGTGTTCGTCTGTATTTGTTCTGCATTTTTAAACCCGAATAAATTCACTTTGTAATATGTAATATTTTGACTCCACCAGTTCTGGCTGTCTTGAGAGTCATGCTGGTTTTCTTTACTTCTCCAGTATCTTTATAACCATTAGCCATATTTCTGAAGATGAGAACAGTCTCAGAAACCGCTATGCAGCTCTCACTGCCCTGAGTAGGTTTGTACAAGCATAGCTGGTGCAAATAGATGGGCTCATTTGAATSAGCAAACACAGACGATTAAGCTCTGTCTGATATCCTTGACTGTGCTGCTTGGGAGCATTAACAGTAGCTCTCTCCTAAAGAAGTTAAAAGTTTTCTCTGTAACTAATTTAATCAGTTTCTCAGAGTATGCAAGGAG